CTTGCACCTGGCACAGGCACCGTAGCCAGCCCGTGCCCCTTTAAGGGCTCCGGGGCCAGGAGGGGGGCAGACGAGTTTCCCTGGTGGTGCCCAGAGTGGGAAAGCTGGGGAGGGCTAGCCTCCCACTAGTTCGAATTAAGTGGCCACACAGCCCTTAATTCGAACTGCTTAATTCGAACTAGGCGTTAGTCCTCGTAGAATGAGGTTTACCTAGTTTGAATTAAGCGCTCCGCTAGTTCGAATTAAGTTCAAACTAGTGGTTTGTATGTGTAGCGCCTATCAAAGTTAATTCGAACTAACGTCTGTTAGTTCAAATTAACTTTGTAGTGTAGACATACCCTCAGTTCTTTAGCCAGTAGGCCTTACTGCCTCCATGGGGGTATAACACACTGGACTGGCATGTGGGTTCATTTTCTCATGCTAGTACCTGGCCCCAACAATTAGACCAGCCTGCAACTTATCCACAGCTAAAGAAGTTCTTCATTAGCTCGAGCAGTAAAGACTTGTGTTTTGGAGCCTGGAAATTGCAGGTTCAACTGATATCTGATATCTCCGTGGTTCGTTACACAAGCAGCTAACTGAAGTTAACGGTGCACTCAGTAATGTTATATGCTTATAAAGAAATAAATTTGAAAAATCTCATTGTAGTTTATTGCTGGTTAAGTGAATTCCTGTTCTGTTAAATGTTAACCCTAAGGACTCTTTCCTGGAGGAAAGAAGATAATGTGATAGCAGAAAAAATGGGGCGTAGTCCGTGTTTTTCTACGGTGAGGCCATGACTGTTTCCATCAGAGTCAAGCTACCCCCTACAAAGAATGAATATAGCAATTTTTCCCGTTCCTTCTCTGTCTCTGTTGGGATCTCTTTCTGCCTTTGGCCTGGAACCACTGTAATCCGAGGGACTTTCCATCTTCTGACTGGAGAACACCTCACATTCAGGGACAAAGATGGTGGATGACAGCCTCACTCCCCTGGCATGATGGCCTTCTCTTCCATGAGGCTAAAGCTCATCTGTGCGAGAGCCAGAGCTCTCTCAGGGGCTGGTGTGAGATTGTGGAATGAACTCCCCCAGGAACTAAAGACCAACACAAACTTCACCTGTCCCTCTGTAAGTGCAAGCTGTGTTTCTTTGCTCTGCCTTCTCCCATAAAAACAGCAATATGTACATTAAAAAGACTCAGGGTACGTCTACACTAGTTCGTTAGTTCGAGCTAGGTAGGGTAATTAGGGCAAGCGGAGTTGCAAATGAAGCCTGGGATTTAAATATCCTCGTGGAATGAGAAGTAATGGTAGTTCAAATTAGGATCTTTAATTCGAACTACCTACTCCGTGCTGCATGTAGCTGCGGGCACGGAGTTCGGACTAAGGGGGATTTAAAAATGGCTGCGCCCGGGAACATGCAAATGAAGCCTGGGATATTTAAATCCCAGACTTCATTTGCAACTCCGCTTGCCCTAATTACTCTACCTAGCTTGAACTAACGAGCTAGTATAGACGTACCCTCAGAGGGGTAGCCGTGTTAGTCTGTAACTGAAAAAACAAAAAATAAAGAATAGTCTTGCAGCACCTTAGGGTATGTCTACTATGTCTTT